GTGTAGCTTTCCTTAACATAGAGAGCTACCCCCCCGCCCCTTTTCTCTACACGATCCCTCCTGTACAGGGTATAGCCATCTATCCCCGTGGTCCAGTCATGGGTGGAGTCCCACCAGGTCTCCGTTATCCCTATGACATCGTAATTGTTTGCACTGAGCAAGAGTATGAGCTCCTCCTGCTTATTCCCCAAGCTCCTGGCATTAGTGTACAGGCAGGCAAGTGCCCCCTGGGGGGCTCCTTCCTTGCACACAGATTTTACCAGGGCTGGGGCAGGGGTGGAGCAGCATAGTCCAGCTCCCAGCCCATCTGCACCAAACTCCTCTTCTTCCCAATAAGGACCACTCTGTGTCTACAAACTGCACCTGTTCTTTATGTCCACAACACTGAGGCTGGGGGGAGGTGGGGAGGGCTGGGCCCCTGCCCACCTCTGCTTCCGGGTCTGATGCCGACTGATGCTGACAGTCCCTGGATCCCTGACCCACAACAGCTCCAGCCTTCAGGCCCGCTAGGCCTGTTTCCGCGTACGCCGGCGGAGCCGCCAGCACACACAGTACCTGGGAGAAAAGAAGTCAGCACCTGCCCTGCCTTCAGATGCCTGGGTCCTACCCAGTACAGGGAGGCGAGTGAGGTCTTATGGATTAGTGAAGGGGGTAGCTGAAAGCCCGAACTCCTGGGTTCTCTCCTGGTCTGGCAGGGGAGTGGGGCCTGGTGTGGAGGGCAGCGTATCTGTGTGTCCAAGTGCAGGGGAGGGGCCACCCTCCTCTCAGGAATGGTGCTGAGGCCAGTGGAGTTCAGGGCACCAGCCCAGCCAGACTCTTGTGAGGCGTCTAAAGGGGCTCTTTCGGATGTGGAGGGGGGGCACATGGGGAGGGTGACTCACAGCAGGGTGCCTGACCCCAGAAGCACGCATTCGCACACCAGGAAGAGGTACAGAATGATTTCCTTCTGTTCGACCTCCCTCTTGTCCTCCTCTGCAGAGAACAGTGCTGAACCAGAGTCCCACAGTGCAGGACCCACCCACACCCAGAGCCAGCTGCATCTTAATACCAGGCAGCTGAGATAAGCCATCCCCAACAACCCCACCCCAGAGGTGGCTACATCTCTGTGTTAAGCAGGGTGTTTCTGGATAATCAACTCCCAGTGTGAGCATCCCAGAGGCACTCATATCTTCATAGTTTCATAGTTGTTAGGGGCTGGAAGGGACCTTACAGATCATTGGCGATGTGTAGGGGTTGCACATGAGTGCAAGTGCACCCCCTGAAATTGGCTGTGCACCCCCTGGAAGTGCCAGCTGCGAAATCAGAAGTGCTGGCAGAAGTGCATTTTAAGTTTCACCGCTGGTGGTTCTGGGCTTGGCAATCAGCTGCTGGGGGATCCCCCCCCCCATACCCCCCGTCGGCATTCTGGTGAACCCCCAGACTCGGGAGGCACCAGTCGCCCATGTTACAGATCATCAGGTCCAGCCCCCCTGCACCTGGGCAGGAAAGACTGCTAGGATGAAAAGACCCCAGCAAGATGGGTGTCAAGACGTTTTTTGAAGATTGCTAGGGTGGATGACCGTATCACCTCTGGGGGGAAACTGTTCCAAACCCTCAGCACTTGGTTTGTAAAGTTTTTCCTTCTGTCTAGCCTGAAGCAATCTTCAGTCAGTTTGTGCCCATTATTTCTTGTCCTCCCCTGGGGAGCCTTGGTGAATCTTAATGCCAAAAAAGAGGTCCCTGTGTAAACAGCTTCTGCCATGCCTCACCCCACAGGCTGCCACATAGCTCTGCCCCCATCCCTGTGGGTACCTCCACACAGCTCCCCACTGAAGCACTGGGCGTTGATGCGCAGACACGTCCAGCAGTCCAGGACTGGCCCTTCGGTCATAGCTGGGATAGTAATGGGGCCCAGGTCAGAAACAGACAACACCTGGTACTGGACCTGATCTGGCCCCATGGTGGGGCACTGCCTCATTCAGGATGTGGGGAAGGGGCAGGGGCCTGACCCCTGAGTTGGGGTCCCTAGGCCGGGATGGGGAGGATTCTCACTCACTGCAATCCTCTGAGCAGGCTGGAAAGAAGCAAAGACAGAGATACCATCAGTGCCCCCAGCCTTCTCCAGCCCCCACAGCACTTGTAGCCCTTCTTCCCACAGCCTCCCAGCCTTCCTAGGGAGCTCCTGGAAGCGGAAGATCAGTGGGTGCTGACTCATGGGCCTCTCTCCCCAGAATAGGACAGCTGCCATGGGAGGAGGATGCAGCTAAACCTCTGCCCAGAGATGGGGTAGCTCCCCGCAGAGAGAAGAGGGCCCTGGCCTTTCCCTGGGTCGCTGTCACCAAGGGCGGGGGGGGGCAGGGGAGGGGGTTGTAGACTCTCTCAAGAGGGTCCAGCATATTACCAAGGTTGGCAAATCTCTCAAGGGCACCATGCAGGCTGGACAGGAGCGAATCACGCTGCTGGGCCAGAGCCAGCTGCAGCAAGTTCACCCCTGTGGGAAGGATAGACAGAAAGACTGGGCGGGGGGCAGGGACAGATCAAAAAGGGGTGCAGTGGCAGTCATACCCCCTTTCAGAGCACACCATGGGAGCAGCAGCTGGTGACTTTTTTAAGTCCCCGAATCAGGTAAGAATTCCAGCCCCACCACCTTCCCCTCCATGCTTAGCAGCACATTCTGTCCCCTGTCTTTCCCCCTCCCCCACCCACTTTTGCCACTGCGTCTACTGTGTTCAGCTGTCACAGGCAGGGAACAGCTCCAGAGCTGCTCCTGCCCCACTCCAGCTGGGTTGCAGGTGGGCCAGACTCAGTCAGGGACAGCAGCAGCCATGGGAGAGTTCCTCTTCTCTGCCCTGTTTCCCTGGGACTTCTCTGCCAGTCTGGAAACAGGCTCAGGGTGGGAGAACCTGCCTGCCTGCCACTACCACTGTCCCCAACTGAGCCTGGCACTGCTGAGCATGGAGGGGAAGAGAGATGGTGCTAAGAGCCAGGGAAGAGATTTTTACCTGATTCAGGGACTTAAAAATGTTCCTGGCTGCTTCTCCTGTGGTAAGATCTGGCCATCCCAAGGTAGGGAGAAGAAGCTGGAAGTAGGGATGCAACCACCCCTGCAGCACCAGTTGCTGCTCAGGCCTCTGCCCCCCTCCCCTCCCCAGCTTTTACCCATGGGTAGAGAGACAGACAGGTTGGGATAGGGGCAGTCAGTTCCATATGGTTGCAAGGGGGTAGGGCCCACAGCCCTGTACAGAGCCCAGGCTGAACCCGGATGCTGGCAGAGGTGGGGGTGGGGAAGTGGACAGAACAGCCACCCCACCCCACCCCCAACATGAGGGGTCCTCCTTGACAGTCTGCCCCCAGCACCCCCATGCACCTACCTCACCTGCCCGCCCCTCTACAGAAACTCCCCAGCAAGCCCACCCACTCCCCAGCAAGCCCACCCACCCCAGCCAGGCTCCAATGCTTCCAAGTCCTATCCGACCCTCCGCCTCACCTTTCCAGGGCTCTTCCTTGACACCTTTCAGCCATGTGGTCAAAGCAGACTTCAGAGACTGAACCCCTCGGACATCTGCAACAGAGACCAGAGTTAAAAGGCAGCCCCTAGCCCAGCTGATGCCCCTCGCTTATGCCCCACAGATCCCAGCCCAGCCTGGTATCTGGCCATTGCCAAGGCAGAGCCCACCCAGCACACGGTGCTGCTTCTCGTGGAGGTGGAGGGTGTAGAGCTGAGTGAAAGCCTCAATGTGGTGCCGGATCAGGGTGTCCCGCTGCGGTACCGTGGGTGGCACCACCTCCCCCAACAGCGCCTCCAAGGCCTCCAGGAAGCGTCGGTCACAGTGGAGGCAGCTCCCTGCCTCTTGGAGGCAAAGGACAATCAGGAGCAGCAGCAGGGCACAGGGCATCCCCACAGCCACACCTTCCCATGGGATTGCTGAGCATCTGTGACCTCAGTGATGTCACAAAGATGGGGTACATCTTATCTGGGGTCAGGAGGATGTGATGTCAAAGATGTCAGAGGCAGAGGAGCCATGTTTAGAAAGGAGTGGCTTCAGCACAGGAAGTGAAGTCAAAGGCTGAAGGTGAGGGTTGGAATGACTGGGATGAAGACGGTAAGTGATGTCACAAGCAGAAGAGGGCTAAAGAAGAACTGGAAATGATGGCAGAGCATACTGATATCACAAGCAGAGAAGCAGCCCCCTACATGAGCAGGAAAGACATCCGGGGTCAGACGACCCCAGCCAGGTGACCATCCAGTCTTCTCTTGAAGACCTCTAGGGTAGATGACTGCACCACCTCAGGGGGGAACTTGTTCCATAGTCTGGACACCCTAGTTGTGAAGAAGTTTTTCCTAATGTTCAGCCTGAAACTATCTTCCAGGAATTTGTGGCTGTTGTTCCTAATTTTCCCCCAGGGCACCCTGGTGAACAGTTGTTCACCAAGCCCCTGATGTACACCTCTGATATATCAGTAAGCTGCTATCAGGTCCCCTCTCAGCCTTCTTTTCTTTAGGCTGAAGAGTCTGAGATCCCTCAGCCTCTCCACATATGGCTTGCCATGCAAGTCCCTGATCATGTGGGTGGTCCTTCTCTGGACCCTCTCGAGCTTTAGCACGTCCTTCTTGAAGTGCAGCACCCAGAACTGGACACAATACTCCAGCTGCGGCTGCACCAATGTTGAGTAAAGTGGGAGAATCACTTCTTTGGATTTACTGGAGATGCATCGATTGATGCATGCCAGAGTTTTATTGGCCCTAATGGCTACTGTGTCGCACTGCCAGCTCATATTCATGCTGGGGTCTATCGTTACCCCCAGATCCCTTTCATTTATAGTGCTGGTCAGGTTAGTGATGCCCAGCTGTAGGTGTGCCGGGGGTTCTTCTTTCCCAGATGCAGCACTTTGCATTTCTCTATATTGAACCTCATCTGGTTCTGCTCTGCCCAACATGCCAGCCTGTCTAGGTCTGCTTGTATCTGCAGCCTATCCATGGGTGTGTCTGCACAACCCCATATCTTGGTGTTGTCTGCAAACTTGGCCAGTGGGTTTTTCACCCCCTCATCCAGGTTGTTGATGAAGATATTGAACAGCACTGGGCCAGTACTGACCCCTGGGGTACGCTGCTGCCCACATCTCACCAGGATGACACCGATCCATTCATTTGGACTCTCTGTATCCTACCCTGCAACCAGTTTCGCACCCACTCAACGGTCCCAGTTTTCTGATCAGTACCTCGTGGGATACCAGGTCAAAGGCTTTCTGGAAGTCGAGGTATATGATGTCAACCACTTTTCTCTCATCCAGGTGACGAGTCACCTGATCATAGAAAGAAATGAGGTTGGTCAGACAAGACCTGCCCACAACAAAGCCATGCTGACTGTCATTCAGTATCATGTCTTCTGCAAGTTCGTCACATATAGCCTCCTTAAAGCAGAAAAAAATGATGTCAAGGAGGGACTGGACAGGAAGACAACAGGCCTATTGGCCATGGGACCTAGGCCCATCAGCAACTACAAATTTTCCTCAGTGGCTAAAGGATGGCCATTAAATTTGCAGAAACTAATTCACAGGGCAAATCATGATGAAACAGGATACAAGAAGGGGAGTGGGGGTCAAAAGTGAATACCTAGGTGCCAAGCAGAGAACTCTGGCTGGTTCCCACTGCCCCTCAAACATATCTAAAGAGGCTGTGGATGCCATCTTGTGAAACTCTGGTCAGAGATGGGCAAAGAAGACAGCCCACAATTGCTTGGGTTCCCTCTGGCTGGCACGTCCTTCCTCATCTGCGAGATGGAGAGCTTGGCCAGAGGCAGGAAGAGGTTGACCAGACAGTCCCAGGACTTTCTAGGGTTACGGATGTGTGTAGGTACAAGGTGCGGGGGCAAGCACAGCCAGAACTGCAAAATGAGGCTCTTGAGCTCAAAAGCAGAATAAGACATGATGCCAGCTATAGGACAGCAACAGAGAACTGAGGAACACCAGGAAGTGATGTCTAAAATCAACAATGGATATAGGAGTTAGAGGAAGAACAGGAAGTGAGCTCACAAAAGACTAGAAACGAGGTTCACAGGGGTTTCTAGCAGGATGCTAGTGGAGGTGGTGCTGGTGCTGGTCCTGCTGGCCCCAGGCACTACCCCCTGCTTCGGCTGCTGGCCAGACACCCCCCTCTACTTTGACTATGATGTGCGGCTCCTGTTGGGGGACAGCCTACTGGAGGGCACCACACGACTGGACAAGAAGTTGCATGAACTCTTCCTGGACAGAGAGAACCCTGGCATCAAAGTCATGGGTGAGGAATCAGGGGTTAGACAAAAAAAACCTTCTTTAAGGCTTTTTCTCCCTGCCTCACCAGGCTCCCCTGAGCCCCTTACCCCACTCCTCACCCTACAAGTGTCCTCTGCTGAGACAGTTACCTGTGAAGGGTGGGGGACCCAAGGCCATTTTCAGGCTGAATAGCTGGACAGGGCAGGAGCAGGGTCTCCCTTGTGTCTGGCTGCATTTCTCTCCACCTCTCTCCTTCCATGCAGAGCAAGAGCGCATGGAGCGAGAAGCAGGGAAGCTTTTTTATCACCTCGACCGGATCTTCACACGATACCGCCATGGTGCGTGCCACAAGCAGGGGCTGGGGGTAGTCCTGCAGGAGGCACTAGCCGGTGTCCTCCTCCATGGGGAGCCTCTTGTCCGGAAGGATGACACAGATGAGCCATTTCAGTGGCTTCAGCACCCTTTAAGCTGCCCATTCAACCCTTCATGGTAGAATGGCATCCCTCTGTCAGAGCTTGTGCAAATGGACAGTGCAGGCCCCTGCGCTGGCATGGGCTCTCACAGCTGTGGCACCCCTCTACTGCCACTGCCAACATGGGGGGGACTGGGAGGAAATTTGGGGTCTGACAGAAAATCTGCGTGGGGACACAGGCCAAGAGCCAAAGGGTCCTGGTGCAGCTGGAGCCAGGGCTGTGCCCTATGCTCTGGCCAGCCCTACATGGGAGAGCAGAGATGCTGCCCCACAGTGGTGCCACCACAGACCGCCTAGGGGAAGGCAGAGGCAAGGAGGGCTGCACATCCCAATGCCATGTGAGGCAAGTCCAGTGGTGCCCACTCAAGGAGATCCATGCCACCCCAGGCTCACTGCAACAATGACCAGGCCAGAGTGGCAGAAGGGCATCACAGCAGATGTGAGAGAGCACAACCAGCCCCCACAGCCCTGGGGGCTACTTGGAGCTGGTTGAGGGCAGCAAATCCCATCCCCAGACTGGACAGCCAGACTTGTCGAAAGGGCTCCTTTATCCCAGAGTGGGTACAGCACCCAGGCCCCTGCAATTAGGTAGAGGAACTAAGTACACATGCCCACACAGAGCAGTGAGGGAGGGGAAGGCAGCCCTCACCCAGCTGTGCCCACAGATCCAGAGCGGCTGCTGAAGGAGGCAGAGCTGGAGAGGCACAATTTCACCCTGCGCCTGAAAGCTGCCGCTGCTGCCGTCCTGCAGCAAGGTACTGAGCCCAGCCCCTCCATCCTGCCCTGGGGACCTGAGTGGCTAAGCCTTATCCCCATCTCCACCCCTGCCACCTCAACCCCTGGGACCACCACCCTGACTGCTGGGCCCTGCTGCCCGTGTCCACCCCCAGACCCTGACACTAACCCCGGGGGACCGTGATTCTGAGCCCTGAGCGACAACCACCCCCAGGGACCCCCGTACTGACACCGCCCCAGGCCCCCAGCTGTGGTGGCTGGAGCCGGGACCGGGGGCCAGGACGCCTGGGGTCCTTGTGGCCCCCAGCACAGGTCGGGCCTCTTCAGGGCTGCTGACCCGTGCTGCCCGTGTGTCTGTCCGTCTCCCCGGCAGTTTGCGGATCATCCTGCAGTGAGTCCGGCCGGCCTTTCGAGGCGCCCATCCCCACCAGCCCATCC